TAGAGAGAAGAAAAATTTCAAACAGTGACGTCAACCGCGGTATCGGCATACCAAGGATTCGAGTTTATTGATGTTGTTAAAGTGGTATCGAGTTTACATAATAAAAAGAGGCATAAGAATTAAATAAGGAGGACAGCGCGCACAAAAATTAAGTAAAATAGTAAAATACATTTATTTAAACGCGCGCGAAGAGCATGTTGTTACATGCTTCAGCTTTTGAGCAATCTTTAATACAGCCATCATACACCCCTAATATTGAATTATGTGAAGTAACAGATCATTAATGTGCCGTGAAGAGTCATTCCGTAAATAATGCATCAGACTGTGTGGAAAGATCTTCCTTGTCTCTTAAGGATTAGAAATAAATTCAAGCAAGTGACGTAATGTATCAAATTTATAGTTGTATCAAGTTCGTCAAAAGTTAATAATATTTTTCTCAAACATGGAATTATTAGATTTTTTAAATCTGAATATTGAAACTATAAAAAAATGACTATTATGTTTAAAACGTTGAAATAATGAAGAATACATTGAGATAAAAAGGGACGGTCGTCTGGCGCAACGTGGTTAAATAACGATTTATTTGCAACTAAAACCTAAAGTTCTTGTTTTCTCGATGGCAGCAGAAAAACGACCTCGATACACCTCGAGGCCCGGTTCTCCTGTACATATTACACTCTGAGTAATATACGTATTCCCGATACACATACATCGCGTGCGAGTTGGGATTTTGCACAATCGCCGATGCCGTCGTCGCTGCCGCCGTCGCTCACGAAGTTAAAACTATACCGTGGAAAATCGGTTTTACCGTGCCTCGTTTAAATAACGGATCCCACGTTTTTGCCCGACACAAACCTTTCCGCAATGCCACGCTATTGTAACGTCGCGCTCTATTCCATTCTATTCCACATGGTGCATCCATGGGTGTATTTAACTCGTACAAAACAAACTCGGAAGGTCGCATAAGAAAATGTTTGGACTTGCCCATCTTTTTCCCACATCTCGAATATACGAGCTTTCGCGTAGATCAATTCGTTAAAAAAACATGTAATTTTTTAAAATATAAATTATAATGCAACCGTAAGAATTTTAAATTCCGAAAAAATTTTTATGAAATTAAAAATTTCGTACATGAATGGATTAATGAAATTTCCATATCTACTACTTAACGAAACCATTTCAATGAATGTTTGAGAATAACTTGGTTTAAAGTGCATGACTCTTTATATTAAATTAAATATTTTGATGATAGTTGTAAGTTATTGAAATAATCTATATTTTATTTGCAACAAATAAATATTTTATCTATATTCGAAATATATAAATCACAATTTATTTAGTATTTCTTAACTTCACCCAGCGAGTCTTTTCTATTTATTGCTCCGAGAGACGTGTTTCTAACTGTCGTTCCAGCTGATATATCTACACATTCGGAGTTCATAACTTGACCGCAATATATCTTCGATATTTACGCTTCTATTATCAAACGCTTTACCATAATCTGTTTTATGCGGATCTTACACTAAAATTCTTACTGAATAAAATAACATTTCATCAAATAACGAAAACAACTTATAAAAAATGAATGTTATTTGAAATTTCAAAAATAAATTAAATTGAATAATAAACTTTGAATTGCCATAACAAGTTTAATTGCTAGCAATATTGTAAAACGCTAAACTAATCACCAAAACCAGTTTATAACTGAAAACAACAGAATACACGAAAAACAAAGGAAAAACAAAAACGCGATTTTGTGAAAATCGATAGAGGTTTTGAAAATCATGGTATTCTGTCAAACTTCACCACGTGTCTACTACAAAATTTTAAGCATATTTGAGATTCGCTTTGATGAATTATGCTCAGAAAACCTAAAAATAACACATTTTTGACCGGTATAGTTGGCTAATGACATTACATTCTCTCAGTCATCAAACATTAAATTTTAATATTTTCTCTAGACATAAAATTATTAAAAATAAATGTTTCATACAATCTGCAAATTAAGAGTCTATAATTCAGGGTTCACCAACTAGAAAAAGACTGATCGCACTAAATTTACCAAACGTTAGATTAATAATATTTTTTCCAGACAATGGACTTATTAGGAGATTTTTTAATTTAGAAAATGAACATTTCTCTTAAGTTACTCTTCTTCATTAAATCATATTCTTACGCTTCAATACGCATTCGCATTGTAACACACATTATAAATGCACACGGCGACATAATAGCATACGTCGATACACGTTCGACGGATCAATTTACCTGTTCCCAGAGTTTCACAACAAGGCTTATCATGTCGTTGCCAAAGCGAACGAGCGCGTGTGAGTACTACTGACAAATCCGATGGCCATTAGCACCATTAAAATCTTGTTTAGTTGCGTCAGAGTTCGAGCAGATTTATCGCGCGATTGCACGGTGACATTTGCCCGCCACTTCTAATTATCTGATACGCGTTTTTCTTTCTCTCTCTTCCTCCTCTTCCCCAGATTTCACACGTAGCTTCGGAGAATCGCTCTGAGTAATTAGTTTCTTTACCGTTTAAGAGTAATATTTCGTAATTTCTACGAAACTCGTAATAAACTGTTTGTTTTGTTATTATATTGCGATAGAATCAGACACACGGTTTAGTGCTGCTTGCATAATAATATTCAAAACACAATAAAAATACAAACAGGTTACGCGCGAGTCTACTTTGTAAATGAAATTCAAATTATATTTAATAACTTCATATCCTCTTTTTTAACTTTTTAGAATAGAATATATAAATAATCAGATATGTAAATAATGTACAAAAACTCCTCACGGTTTCTTTAGCTAATTTCTCTCTAAATAAATAAAATACCAGATTATTAATGATATTCTAGTTAAAAGTACAAATTTACAGAAGCAGAATTTTTGTGTACGTGAAGCTAATCTCGAGAAAAATATCAAGAAACATGCAATTGAATTTTTATTAAAGAAACGCGACCATCAGATTGGTTGTGTGTATATATATATATATATATATATACATACACACACACACAACCAATCTGATGGTCGCGTTTCCTTAATAAAATTATATATATATATATGAAAGGAAATATGAGGAAATCAACCAATCACATGGTCGCGTTTCCTTAATAAAATTATATATATATATATGAAAGGAAATATGAGGAAATCTCTTACACTCTGTATCAAATAAATCTACAATTTTAATTTAACACAACCTGCTGTACGAGAATCAAACGCGGCATGCGTAACGTGCGATTTTTCGCGATTGCGGTCGCTCGCCGGATTTAACTCGAGCACAGTTCCATAATAATCGCAGCGGGGAAATGAACACCAACCGGTACGCTCAACGATTTAGCCAAATGATTCAACCCCCAATTGCCTTCTGGAGCGTGTCGTGGCCGATAATATCAGGTCGGTCGGTCCTCTCTGTGACGTATAAACCGCAACGGAGAGCCCGAACGATTAGCAAAGAACGGCGACGGCGGTAGTGTTACGCCGTAAGGTACCCCGGTTCGTGAAAGTAACGGGCCACGCGTTTATATTTTTCAATGCAACTGCACTTGCAAGTGCGCACACGCTCGAGCCGAGTTTATGATTTTGCTTAATTAATGGTCTCCTCGTCGGTTACCACCCTCCGCTCTCTGTTCCCCCCGTGCCCTCCTACCCTGTTCCCGGCCACTCGCTGCTACCAGCGGCAGTGGCGGCCCGGCGGCCATTAGCCCGCATGGATTGCGCAATTTCGGGAAATTGCGAAGTAATTCGTGGTTGCGGCCACTCTCAACGCAGAGACGGCGACGACGCGCTGGTGAGGCGACGCGACTGGTTAACCAGCGACATAGAAAAGAACTAGTGGATTCTACGAAAGGACGGTCGTTGCTAGCTTGCGATGACAATGTTGGTCCGTCGCAAATCAATTCGACGAAGAAGCAAAAAAAGAAGAGGGGCATATAGGGAACGATTATATTGGAAGAATCGCGCGCGGTTAAAGCGACCGGCGAATTCTGCGAATTATACGTGTCAATTTGGGTGAATTTTACGTAACAGAAACTGAATACCGGTTTAGTTTGGCTTGACGACATTTTAAGAATTCTTATATGTCTTACGAATTATGATGTAACAAGAGCTGTTGTCTATTTTCCGGTATCATAATTTATAGAAACGTAAGGGAAATAATTATATTCAACCGTAATTCCAGCTTTTTTAAAGAACATTAAGAGAAAGAAAAACGGTAAATACGAATACAGCGAGATAATTGGTACGCGAATAAAATGCATTAATAAAATCACTTAATAATAGTTTCAATTCTTCTTGGAGTCATCCTCTGAAACGTACTATTATTAAATAAATTATATTCATATTTTTATTTCTAATTAACTAATTGTGTAGTATTTTATTCAATCATCGCACTATTTGCAATTTTCCTTTTTAATATTTGATATCTATAACTTATATTCTTTAGAAAGGATTTTTCTAAAGAAAAATTTCGAATGTCTATTTTTTTTCTAAATTTTTGTAAATAAATATGCTTCATTCTTTTGTAAAAGCAGAATTAAGAATAAAGTTCATCATATTACACAATATAATGAATCGTTCACATACTAGTTCAACTAATTTCGAGTTCAGCAAAAATTTTGAAAGAAAAAGAAACAACCATTATTGTAAGATGTAGCTACGCAATATTAATGTGAGGCAGATTTTTTGTTTGCGAAACTTGACGACAGTAATTCCGGATTGTTATTGCCTACCGTTGCCGTAGCGATTTGTTCCACCCTTCACCGTTATAATTACATTACCACTACCCAGATAGTTCCAATTGTGTTCGTTATACTATCGCCACCACCACATTTTGCCCATATTTTATATCGAAGTAAGAAATCAGATGTAAAAGACAAGAAAGAAAGAAGAAAGATAATAAATTATTTCCAAAAAAAAAAAGATAGCCCATGTAAAGTGGGCCGTCTAAAGAGAAAAAATAAAAAAAGAAATGTCTACGATACCGATGCTATTCTGAGTACTGAGTTCCCAGTCTTTCATGAGGATTTCTCGGGCAGGTCAGGATGACGGCGACGTGGGTACACCTATAATGCAGACAGTGATCGTCACATATAGACTGGCGTAAATATCGTGTTAGACGATTGTCGAAAGTCGATAATATACAGTATTATATCTATCTAAAGCAGAAAAAGAGAGAGAAAGTATTTAGTGCGTATTTTGAATAAGTGATCTATGAACTATACATTTGTAAAATTTTTCTTAAAAATAACACCTTTTGCATTTTGCAACTTCTAGTTTAATTTTTAAATAGAGATAATAGATTTAAGCTAGCTATTAATATTATTATTATAAATAAACAAAGTAAAAGCTTCTTTTATTGTTAACCCCTAAACTTCTGTACAATCTTGTAGACGTATAACTGCGATTGATTTAATTTGAGTAAATAATTATTTTTTCACTGAAAAACTTTTATTATGTAGCTTAGGCTGCGTTCGGAAACTTCACCCAGGTGCACTCGGGTGAACTCACGCCGTTCGGAAACATTCGGGTTGTACCGAGGTGACAGAGGTGAAACCGTTCGGAAACTCTACTGAGCACCTCAGGGGGAAAATTTTCCACCTTGAAATTTCAAGATGGATCCGAGTAATTTTGTATATGGCGGGATGTTTTAAATTGTGAGGACGTTATTTATGACTAAACTAATATATACTTTTGAAACTTAAAGTGAGATAGTTATAGCAGGAGATACGGTAGTGTCTCAGCGCTAAGCCAAGAGCATTTTAATATTTGGCGAAAGCGAAAAAGAGAGTTCTAGTGCAGTATAGTGTAGGAATAAAATACTTTGACAGAAAAACACCTCGGGCGTGCAATGGAGCGCGTACATTTATTAAAAGAAAGACACATGTTATGCACTAATAATAATAACAAGGGAATGTATGATTCCCGAGGAAATCTTCTAGTTTATGATATGATCGGTAAGCAATAAATTTATAGTTTACTTATATCTTTTAACCTAAACACATTTGTGGTTAGAAATATTTGTAAGAAGTATGTAACTTTTTTCTAGATAAAACTTTAATATAAGTACCTATTTCTGAAGAATCTGTGGCATTTTTTGGGCTACAAGAAATTATTGTAGGCTATAATGAGCCCAAAAGTCTTGTTACTGAATCCGGTAGTAATACGTTAATGAGTACACAGTCATCAACACAGCAAAATACAAATTCTTATGACATTATGTTTCTTTGATAATGTACTTTTGACAACGTTACAATTATAGAATATTTAAAATCAAACTTGTTTTTGCAAAACAATAATATGAAGGAAAATTTCAATAAAATTACATCAACAATGGATATATAACTGAGAATGAAACTAAAGATTACATCAAAATCATCATCATTACTTTCTGGATATAAGTTATTTAAAGTACTCTGTATTAATAATTGTCCAGTAGTTACAGCACAAGCTATAATAATATTTGCGCGAGATTGTCTCTGGTCTGCCATTTTTTATTTATTTGACCGATTTGCCGTTCGGAAACTATTCGCACTCGAGGTGCACCTTGCCTCCACCACCATTTACCCGGTACTACCCTCAGCCGCCCTCAGGGTAACGTTTCCGAAACGCAGCCTTACAAGGGAACCACCTTTCGAGATTCCTCTCAGCGGTTTTCAGCTTTTTCCATTATATCAATTTTTTTTGAAAATTTTGAAAAAAAATTGTTAAATAATTATTTTAAAAACGCGATTGAATATAGCTAATTTTGTTGTAAAACTTTTGTATAAAACATTTTTTTATATCTCAAATAGTTTTCGAGATACAACGGAAAAAGCTGAAAACCGCTGTGCACGTAAGGGGTGATTTCACCCCTTCAAACCGTTTTTTAGCCGCAACTGATATTTTCTAAATTCATCTCTTTATGTAAGCTACAAGTTCACAAAGTTTCATTAAAATCAGAATTTGACACCTCGAGCGGTTCCCTTGTTAGTAATAAAACAATTATATTTATTATTACATGCCTCTAACTGGAAAAGTGCACGCTCCGAATAATCGGGAGATCCAGATTCAAATTTTAGTTTGATTCAAATTTCTGATATTTTTTGCAGTATTTTAAAATGCTTATGTATTAGCATTGTTATTTTTAAATTGATCAATTTAATTTGACAATATTATTCCAGCTTTAATTTAAAACCGACTGTGTTCGGTGCGCAGTTTGAAAAACTAGAAAATGTATTTAATAATTTATACAGAAATATTATTGGCATCAAAATTCAACTTCGACCGTATTTCGTTTGCCTTTATTTATTTGTGTTATTTATATTAGCGATCTAGTTTAACTTACTATTGCTTAATGAAATTGTTAAATGAAAAAAAATATTCAACAGAAAGAAGTCAAAAGTTCTCTTTTGTTCGCCGAATAGATATGATTAACGATCGAAAATCCGCCGAAGCAAAGCGCAATAATTATATCCGCGTGTGAGTTCTTTCGAAAAGACCGGACGTCCTAACTTTCACACGTGCAACGTTTCTGTGGTGAAATCGGCGCGTTATAAGTTACGAGGTGAGCAACAGTCGCTACTCACCGTTCGCGGTTACGCTTACTAGCGTCTTCGGAAAGCGTGGAGAGCAATGAGACAGGTCTGCCTCTGCACGTATGCACACATTACCACAAATGTGTGTAAACACACATCCCCTCGAATTACCCCGAAACGACACGCAGGGCGATGAACGTAATTTCGTTTAATTTCGTTTAATTAATAAAATCGACCGTTCATTTATGACACACATACACGTTAAAATGAGATTTTATTGTACGTTGCAGGAAATAATGCCTCGAAAATTGTTTTATTTAAAAAAAATATGTATATGTATTTTTTACATATGTATATGTATGCATGTTCCATATACATATATATGGAAGAAGACGAATCGAACATAGATAAATGATAATACAAAACCATTGTTTTAATTTAATAAATATTGAATTTAACTTAATGATGAAAAGAATGATGAATAAAAGTGATCGCAAATCCAGTATATTATTACTGTAGCAATATATGCGAATAAATTTATAAAATTTATAAAATTTAAAATTAATTCAAATAAATAAAAAAACGCCAAATATAGTCAACGCTGGATGATGTCTAATAATACTTTATGTAAATTTCAAATACCTCTTCCAATTAAATTGCGCGGTAATTACTGTCGTACTTGAAACGCAATTGACGGTCAATTTAATTTGTAATATTATTTCAGCTTCAGTTTATGATTGCATTTCAAATCTAACAGTAATCGACGCACAGAGAAATTATATAACTAGAAGATCTATTTAAAATTTAAATAGAAATATTATTAGATACCAAGATCCAGTCTCAACTATATCTAGCGTTTCTTCACTTATTTGTGTTATTTACATAACGGTCTAATTTAACTTGTAAATTTAGAATAAATATGTGTCAGGCCAAAAAAGACCAGAAAATTTTAAGAGTTTATAAAAATTGAATAATGTCTCTAAGACTCTTCAATGCAGCTTATATAGCAATGATATAAAGCTCGAATATCAGGAAGTTGTGTAGAAATAGTTAAAATAGAATAAATCCAGTCCTATAAATTAGACTGGCACAGAAGAGGATATTTAAGTTCTTCTAAATCTCTATCAAAAATAAATTAAAAGGTCTTCTAAATTTTTGCTACTACATTTATTAACGTATATAATAATAAAGACCTACTACCTTGATCAAAAAGTTCCCGGAATTCATTCAGAAAATTCAAAATACAAGTTTATTCATCAAAAGTGATATTGTCCCCTTCAAAGTACTCCCCATCGACTGCAACGCACTTATGCCAGCGCTTGATCCAGCTCTCGAAACATTTCTGGAACTCTATTGTCGGTATAGCCATCAGAGCCGTCTTCGATTTTTCCATTACCTCTTAGTAGCGATTTTTTTACTCGATCGAACAGAAAAAAATCGCAGGGAGCCATATCGGGTGAATTCGATGGCTGTTGGATGGTATTCGTTTCGTTCTTGGTCAAAAAATTTAATACAAACTCGTTGTTGCAAATTCAACTCCATTTTTAAAACTGTAAAAAATCGAAAACACGTGCAGAGGTAGATGTACTCAAGACGGCGTAACTTTTACAAATGTCAAGCTATGGCGATAAAATTTGGTGGAAATGTCAATGATAGATGTGGCAACCTAACCAAAAAACAGAACTCAAATCAGCTGGCTCAGAGCATCACCTGGTGGTAATTCCGGGAACTTTTTGATCAAGGTACATAGAGAAATAAAAGTCAATCAATATCTAATAAATAATTAAAATTTATAAATGAGTATCTATATCACACATTTTTTGTTCATATTGATGTAGTAAACAACGTAAAATAAATTCATATAATATAATATCTAATAAATTAGGTACTATGGAATTTACTGTATGAAAATTAATGTACAAAAAATAATAAAAAAGTGTACCACTGTATATATCATTGAGTATTAATATACCGAAAAATATATATAAAATCTCAATACTACCAAAATATCGCAAACTTCTTTTTAACAAATCACATTTTATCTTTCAACTCGAAATAACTCAAATTTACGCTCCATTGGACTTTGCAGTTTCCTATTTTTCTTTTCGCAGCAGTTCAAAAAACAAACGATGCGGAATAATTCATCGCTTTGACGAATTTTTCGAAAAATATTCAGCATAGAAATAGTACACGAACACGTGAAATTGTTGCAATTTCAATTCCGCCCATTTGAACGGCATAACGAATAGTTGATTTTTTCTAAAACACACATCTCTGTGTGTACATGGTATCGGAAATATTCCTTTAAATCAGAGGCATTCCATGGATGTGTCAATTCTCGTTTATTTCGACGCATTTCTAGCTTTTCTCTGTTTACAGATGTCTAGAATATCGGCGTGAATCCATACAGTCAATCCATACAGACAATACAATCATTTAGCAATAAATTGCATAAAGAAATGAATGCGTTATATGGAAGTAAGTTTGCCAATTATTAACAGAGAAATTGTTTCACATAATCATTACCGAGTATTAATTCTTGATTCTAC